TTTAAATATTTTTAGTTGTAGATGGATGCAGTACCTTTATTTAATTTATTTATATGTGGTGCTGAGGATTGAACCCAGGGCCTCACACATGCTAGGCACTACTGAGCTCTACCACTGAGCCACAACCCAGCTCCTCAGCCCTTTTTATTTTCAGACAAGGACTCACTATGTTGCTTTAGGCCTCTCTAAATTGCTGAGGTGGCCTTGAATTTGTGATCCTTCTGCCTCAGCCTCCCAAATTGCTAGGATTAACAGGTGTCCTCCACTGGGCCTGGCTGCTTCTTTATCTCTTTTTCTAATCCCTTTAATTAATTCGGCACTGAACCCTCTCATGCCTACTCTTACATCTTCTTCTAATCTCCCCTTCCTTAACAATCCCAGACACTACATCTGTACTCCACTGGCTGATCTGTAATAACAACAGTTTCTGTGCAGACGTGCTCTAACTACTGGGCCACACCCCGGCCGCTTAAGTTTTGAGTTTTCATCGTGTGTGTTAGTTTCCTATGGCTGCCATGATAAATCACCACAAACTAAGTTGCTTAACACGAGAGAAAGTTTTCTCTCACAGTTCTGGAGGCTAAAAGTCTAAGATCAAGGTGTTGGCCGGGCCGTGCTCTCTCCGAAGGCTCCGGGGAGGACTCTCCCTTGCCGTTCTCCTAGCTACTCGTGGTTGCTGGCCGTCCTTGGCATTCCTGGCTGGTAGCCTTTCTCTCCAACCTCTGCCCCCTTCATCACCTGATTGTCTCTGAGTCTGTGTCCAGGTTTTCTGCTTTTTATCGGAAATCTGGTGTTGGGTTAGGACCCACCCTAATCTAGTGTAACTTATTTTAACTTCATTACTTCTGCAAAGATCCTATTTCCAAATAACACTACATTCACATATACAAGGGATTAGGAACTGAATGTATCTTTGGAGGGGAACACAGTTCAACCCACAACACCACAGTAATTCATTCAATCAAAGAATTATGCATCCAGTTGTACCAGTTGTACTTGCCTTTAAAGAACCATAATCTAATTCAGAGGACATTTGAGTAGATTATTCTATCATAATGTGGCAAATGCAATAGCACTGACATGCACAGGTTGTTACGGAAGCATAAAGAGAGACACCTCATAGAAACTAGTAGAAAAGAGATAAGAGGGGGATCTTGGATACAAATGGAAAAATAAGGAGAAGAATTAGTTTCTTAAGATTTAAATTGGGCTGGGGATGTGGCTCAAGCGGTAGTGCGCTCACCTGGCATGCGTGCAGCCCGGGTTCGATCCTCAGCACCACATACAAACAAAGATGTTGTGTCTGCCGAAAACTGAAAAATAAATATTAAAAATTAAAAAATATATATATATATTTAAAAAAGACTTAAAATCATTCAATGTTCTATTTCATACTTTTATTAATTTAAATATTATCTCCATTTTGGGTACATCCAAGGTGAAGCGTCCTCTGAGAAGTTAACAGTCAGTGAGGGAGGAATCCATATGTGCCTCATCTCATTTTATATATTTCTGGGGCCATTTTCCTTATCCTTGAAGTTCAGCCTTAGAATTCAATTTTTCTTTAAAGGTAATTGACTGAGTACACAATTTTAGGTTGACATTTATTTCCTCTTAATGCTTAAGCTATATAATTTTTTGATCTCTATTGTTTTTTAATATATATTTATTTTTTAGTTCCAGGTGGACACAATGTCTTTATTTTGTTTTTATGTGGTGCCTCATGCATGCTAGGTGAGCGCGCTACCACCTGAGCCACATCCCAGCCCTCTATTGTTGTTTTTTAGAGTCTTCTGCCATTCTGATTTTTTGTCCTTTCTTTGTGATTGCTTTTAAGAACTTTGCTTTGTCTTTAGCATTCTGTGTTCTTTCTACAGATGTCTATGCATGGATTTCTTTTTCTTTAACTGACTGGTACATGTTGTTTTTCCTGGATCTCTGTATTTATATGTTTTACCAGTTCAGGAACACAGCAACATAGCAACAATCACGTTAAATATTGCTTTTTTCCCCTCATTATTTCCATTCTGGTTCTGGATTCAGAATACTCATATATATGTCTCTCAATATATGCTTTACATTTCCTGTCTCCTAATATATTTTCTATATTCTGTATCGCCTTAGGTAATTTCTTTGGATATATTTTCCGGTTTGCTAATTCTTTCTTCATGGTGTTGAATATTAAAATTTTAATTTTTTTAAAGTTTCTTCTTTGCCCCTATCATGTTTGTTTATTTCTGACAGGGTCTCACAACTTTGCTGTCTTGCCGATTGGATCCTTTCTCTCTTTAAATACTTTATGCATTGCCATACCACATCTGTATCTTATCCATGCCATCAAGTTGCCCTACTCAGGGCAAAAACCACCTTCTAATCAACTCTGAGGGCAAGACTGGAGGAACCTAAGGCACCCATCTGGCACCTCATAGCAAGGGAGACTGGGAAATGGAAAGCTTGATTCTCTCTGTGGAAAAACATTTTATGTTTATCCTTGTAAATGACACATCTTTACAACTTCTTTTTCTATCCAAGTGTAAGCTCCCAGTGGATAGGGAGTGGCTTAAATTTTGCCTGGCTGATTCTTTGTCCTCAGTGAATCGTAGATCAATCCCCATCATGATTTCAGAAACTCTTAATTAATCTTGTCCAGTTTTAAGTAATGGTATTTTTGAGCAGATACCAAGCAGTCAGTGTATAACAATGATTTCTGCATAAATTTAACCTGATATTGTTTTCAAAACATCCTCACACATGTTCTTCGGTTACAGGTTAAAAGTGAAAGTGAATGTTAATGCTAGTAGTCTTGATTGGAAACCCTCGGCAAGAGCGCCTCATCTGACGGAATACCAAGAAGAAAAGTCAGTCACTTACAAGTAAGCCTGCTATTGCTCGGCTTTGCTCTCCTTCCATTTAAATGCTTGCCTGTGCTGTCACCCTGCCATCCTTTCAATTGCTGGCATCTGTGCCAAGGCCTCACCAGGCTCCGGTGCCACCTGACATCAGGCACTTGCCACCGTGGTGTCTGGGTGAGGTGACAACTTTCCTCTGGCTTAAGGAATAAATAACATAAATAACAAGTATAGAAATGGGGGAAATGCTTGAACTCTTGTACCTCTTGTTAAAGGTTAGGAGATTTTTAGTTAAATTGAAACAGTATACAGGGTTTGGGATGAGTTTTGGAAGATGGTAACTATTACAGTATTGAATCCAGACTGAAAAGATGTCATAAGCAGAGAAGTGGTGCCTACAACCACATGAAACATGGATCCTCTTAGTTATCCTCTTAGTTAACTAGTTATGCAATTAAAAGTAAAGAGATTTCTGTATGTAATTACATAACTTGTAGTAATCTGATTCACAGTAATGCAATCCCTCAGACATTGCTGGAGGAAATGTGAAAAAGTACAGCAACTCTGGAAAGCAGTTTGGTAGTTTCTTAAAATGCTAAACACTAGATTACCATATGACACAGCAGTTCAACAAATAGCTTTCTCCTTAGGAGAAATAAAAACTTATGTCCATATAAATGTCAGGATGTGAGCATTCATAGCAACATTGTTCACAATAGCAAAAATAAAATAATGGAAACAACTCAAGGTTCAACTGATGAATGGATGAACAAGGAGTAGCCATATGATGGAATATAATTCAGCAATAAAAAGGAAAGAAGTACTGATACAACATCATTAGACTCGGCAAAGGAAGCCAATCACAAACGACCACATATTGTGTGATTATTTTTCATATGAAATGCCTAGAAAAGGCAAGTCTATGGAGGTAGAAGGTGCATAGTGGTTGCCAGTGGCGGGGAATGGAAGTCACTGTGGATAGGCATGAGGTTTTGGGCCAATGGAAATGTTCTAAAATTAGATCATGGTCATGACTGCACAGCTCTGTGAAAATACTGAAAACCATTGACTTTACACTTAAAAATGGGTGGCTTTTGTGGCATGTAAACTGTACCCAGCAAAGCTGTAAAAAAACAAAGTGGAAGAAAAATGAGCTTACATTTCATTGGGCAGGAGGTTGGCCTACAGGTCCCTGTTCCAAAAAGTGCCAGCGTAAGCAGCCCTGATTTCCCTTCCTTTTCCTGAATAGGTTTGGAACTTGGTTTGTCAATGCCAGGCGGCTGCAGCTGGGGGCATTTAGGGCAGCTGGCTTGGTGCCGGCAGGGTACTTGCCCGTGGCTCTCAGTGGTTCTGCGGAGGCTGAGGAGGCAGAAGCATGGAGTCCAGAGTTCAGGAGCAGCCTGAGCAACGCAGCCAGACCTTGTCTCGGGAAAAAATAAATTAAAAGAAAAAATAGAAACGGATGATGTCAGAGATGGAGTTAACTGGTGTGCACTTCTCAGAGTCCCTGAGGTGAGGCAGCTTTGTTCCTTGAATAGGCAGCGCTGGATAAAGGAAGTACTGGAACTAAGCCCTATTTGCTCAGTGGCTGAAGGCCTTAAAATATAGAACGATTCAGAATCACTTGTGTATGTCAGAGTCCAAAGGAATAAGCCTCTCTCTGTACCCTGACTGCTGCAGTCTCAAACAGAATAACATGTCTGGATAAGATTTTAAGGATAATCAATATCTGCATTCTAAATTCTCTCAATTGGAAAAAAAAAGAGAGAGATTTTGTTTTCAAATACCTCTTGTAGCAGAGGGTGACCCAGATCAGAAGGGGAATATCACCTTGTTGGGGAACCTGGGAGTTCGTATTGAGGTAAGATGCAAAGAATACTAGGGTAAGGTAATTCCATTTATTTGGGTTTATTTTTCATAAAATCATGTAAATTCAATCTTAAAAAAAAATGTAATGTGCTACAATTGAGTTGAGAGTTAAGAGAATCCCTTCCTTCCTGGTTCCTCCCTTCAGAAACAAAGGGCCATCCTTTCCAGAAAAAGAACCTCTCTGTTATCAGGAGGGAAAGAACCCAAGTACTACAGAGGCCAACTCTGAAGAACGTTTTCCTTCCTTAAATGTCAAGCAGGAGGCAGAAAAGGATGAAGACCAGGATGGGCGAGAGCCAGGGCAGCACACGGGGCAGCCATTGCAGGCACCGCAGTCTGAGCAGCGGGGAACTGCACCGTGTGGCGGGCTTCCCAGAGGAGAGGAGGCAGGGGACACCTGCTCTAGTCGGGGTGGGGTGGGGGTGGGACAGGAGAAACTGAGAGGCGGTGTCCTGTGCTCAGAAGGAACGGAGAGCTGTCGGCTCCATCCCGGCAACTTGGCAGAGCTGCACATGGAGGCGCCGTCTGTTGGGGGCCTTGCTGTGCGGGATTTCCCTGGCTCCCTCTCCTGAGGTCCCACCTGTCTATTTTCCTACCAGTTCTCTACTATTTGCCACTTACACCCAAGCCAGGCCAAAGTTTTGTTCCTTTAATTCAATCAAGACAGAAAACTTTCCAAAGGACCAACACTAAATTAAAGTAGTGAAATTTAAAAATAAAAGCCCCCAAATGTAAACTATAGAAAATACAGGTGTCTAGCGTTCAGAGCTCTCCTAGGAGAGCCCCAGTGAAACCTGCCGACCTTGCCCAGACCGCTTCCAGGACGGCGAGCTCTTCCTCAGTTCTCTCCACCAGCTGTCCCCTGCCTCTTTTGGGAGTGGCTTTAGAGAGGTCAAAATGCTTCCTCCTCCTCCTCCTCCTCCTCCTCCTCCCCTCCCAGTTAGAATTCATCAGTGAGCGTGCAGCTCAGAGGAGGTCAAGGTGCGACTCCTGTGGTTGCCCTTAATCGTTTATCTGACACCAGCCGGTATGTGCCTTGCTGCCCAAGTTCAGCCCATCAAGATCAAGTCTGTGAACCTGAGGTGCACTGATGGCCCCCGAGATCAGCCCCCTGGGTCTGTCTTCCACAGGTTGGTGGTGACATTGCCAAGCTAGCTGGTGGCTGAAGGGCCTGGGAATCACTGTGAAACTGATGGTTCAGACAGGCCCAGATCAAGGCTGTACCCTCTGTCTCTACCCTGACCATCAAAGCCCGCAAGGAACCTTCGAGAGACGGAAAGAAACGAAAAAACATTAAACACAGTGGTAATATCAATTGGGATGACATTATCAAACTTGCCCAACAGATGTGGCTCTGCCTTTAGCTAGAGAACTTTCTGGAATTCTTCAAGAGATCATGGGGGCTGGCCAGACTGTAGGCTGCAATGTTGATGGCCGCCACCCTGAGGGTATCATAGATGACGTCAACAGCAGGATGCCCAGCTAGACAATATTTCAACAAAGGATCGCCTGTGGAAGAAAAAAGAAAGATGGAGAAACGTGAAGAGCCTGTGTCTCACTTGGCGATCTGTCCGGCTGACTTCTTTCCTGTCTTTCCATTTCCCTCCTCCCTAATGGATTTTTTTTTAAACTCATGAAAATTTATTAAAATTTCATTTTGTGTCAGTTCCTTTTACTGCCACGTTTCAGTACCCTCCCCAGTGTTTGTTTGCTCTCTCAAAATTTTAATGTGCACCTAGACCTGCTCTGAGCCAGGTGGCGTTGGAGGGGCTGGGGACTTAACGAGGCACAAAGCAGCAAAGCTCTCGTCAGTGGCACTTGCATTTTGATGGGGAGACAGACGATAACCAAAAGTCCCTGTATCATCCTGCAAGTTAGTAATAAGGACAGGGCTGTGGGGCGGGGATGGGCCAGGAGGGGAGTCAGGGAAGGTGCTCTGAAGAGACGTGCGCAGCAGCAGCCTGAGGAAGTGAGCCAGACACCTGGATCGGCACAGGAGACTGCCCGAGAAGGGACTGCAGTTGGCATGTTCAGGAAACAGCCAGGGCCAGCGAAGCTGCGACACAGTGAGTGTGAGGGAAAGGCAGGGGACAGGCTGGGGGAGGCAGGTGCCCAGCTGTATGAGGGTCACAGGCCACAACAGGGAGCTGGAATACAAGGCAAAGTGGGATGGGAAGCCTCTCCAAGGAGAAACAACAACCTTTTCAGCGAAAGAATAAGGCTGCTGTACACCCTATCATAGGCGCAGGAGAGCAGCTAGGAGCCGGGACTGGGCAGAGGAGCATGGTGGCCGGAGCTCGGGGCGGTCGTGGGGAGCGGGAGGTGAACAGGCTGGCAGAGCTCCTTCCTGTTGACGTGGTGAGTGGGGGGAAGCAGGAGTCAGAGACAGCCCTCTCCTAGATTTCTGTCCTGAGGGGCCTGGTGGCCTGTGGACCTATTCACTGAAGAGAGAAGTGTGAGCAGAGCCGTCCTGTGTGGGGCTCAGTTCGGGGCACCCGGCCTCCAGTGCAACATGGAAGGAGCTTTGCCAGGTGTACTTACAAAGCCACTCAGGTTTCCTTCACCAGCCACCTAAGCATGTTCTGTTTGGGGTAGTTTCCTCCTGTCCTGGGCTTTTCAGAAGGTAAAGTCTTCTGGCTACAAAGTCTCCCCTAGGTAGTTAAGATGGCCTCTCTGGTCTAACGGCAACAATGCTGATCTTCATTTCTCTCCGTTCTCGCCCTGGCCTGGGCTGCTGAGGCTGGCAGTACAGGACAGGAGAGTGGGGTAGACATCTCCTCTCTTTCCCATCCTCCTCTTTATTTCTTATCTCTGCATCATGCCACTGTGATTCTAGTCTTCTTCAGAGTCCTAGTGGGAGGGGGGAAAGAGGTAGTGGGGCAGGAAGTCTCTTATCCCTAAAGTTTTTTGTTTGTTTGTTTTGGTATCAGAGATTGAATGCAGGGGTGCTTAACCACTGAGTCACATCCCCAGCCCTTTAAAAAAATATTTAGAGACAGGATATCGCTAAGATGCTTAGAGTCCCGATAGGTTGATCAGGCTGACTTTGAACTTGTGATCCTCCTGCCTCAGCCTCCCGAGTTGCTGGGATTACAGGCATGTGCCACCTCACCCAGCTCCTCTTACCTCTGATGTTATGATACCTAGTTTAGTCTAAAGCATCCTCTAGGACACTTTCAAGTGAGCTTCAGAGAAAACTCCTATTGCTGGAGATTTCTCATCTGAGGGTCTCTTTTCCAGCTGGTTGCTTATGACCCTACCCCTCAGCCTCTGATGCAAGTCCCACTACTCCTTCTGCAGAGATTTGCTCCTTCAGGCAGGATCCAAGCCAACACAGCCTGGGTCCATTTACTTAGGTGGGCTCTAAGTAAATGACATACTGCAAACATGCACCCCAACACCTGAAGTGTTGTCAGGAGTGCTCGCAAAACACCAACAACTCTTTGCAAAAAAAAAATATAAAAATAAAAAAAAAACAAACAACACTCCTATTCAGTTTAAATTCTTGACTTCTTTTTTAAAATATATATATTTTTAGTTATAGTTGGACACAATTCCTTTATTTCACTTATTTATTTTTATGTGGTGCTGAGGATCGAACCCAGGACCTCGCGTGTGCGAGGCAAGTTCTCTACTACTGAGCCACAACCCCAGCCCATCTTTTTAAAAATATATATATTTTAGTTGTTGATGGACCTTTATTTTACTTATTCATAAGTGTTGCTGAGAATCGAATCCAGTGCCTCACAAATGCCAGGCAATGCTCTACCAGTGAGCTACAGTCCCAGCCTCTGACCTTTGACTACCCCTCATGTGGCTGAGTAGTTAAACACCACACCAGTTTCACCTCTACTTTGCAAATCCTGAAGAGTGGTCTCCACACCTCTCTTTAGAACATCGCATCTATTGCCTAAGAGACTCAGAGACTAGAATCAGGTGCGCGTCCATCCGTACTTGTGACCTGCCCATTCCACCTCCCCAGGGCCATGCAGTGGGCAGCAGCATGCACAGGCTGGAGCTGGGAGGACAGTCTTGGGTGGAGATGAGACTTTGAGCCATCTTCACAGAGATGCTGTTTGATTAGGAGCTCACATGGCAGTGAGTGTCAGGAGAAGGATGAGGACTAGTCCCGAGGAACTCCAAGATTTAGAGGCTGGCAGGAGGAGGCAGAGCCAGTGGAAAAAATGTGAAAGGAGCAAGTGGCTGGCCACCAAGGTAGGAAGAAAAGGAAAAGCGTGATGTCGCAGAGGCCCAGAGAGAGGGGGTGTCAAAAAAGAGGGCACCACCACCTTGTCACAATGCCTCCAGGCGACAAGCAAAATGAGGACTGAGGATTTCCTCTGCATTCAGCAAGTGAGAAGCAACTGGTGACTTCATCACTGAAGTTACCGTGGAGCTGTGGAGTCCTTGGAAGGAAAGCTTGATGAGAGGGGATTCAAGAGAGGACGGGGTGAGGGCGGGAAGACAGGATATCAGCGAAACTTTTGTGGAATTTTGCTATCAAGGGAGTAGAGAGATGGGTTGGTGGCTGGAGAGGGTCGGGGACAAGGAAATGTTCTTACCAGATGCCAGATGTCATGATTGGAAATGCACCAGCGGGAAAGCAAATTGATGAAGCTGGGGTGGGGTTGCTGGCGGGAAGAGCAGGAGATGGAGAGGCGGCATCCCCACCCCCTGCGGCCTGTGCAGGCGACAGAATCCAGGTTCCTCTCGGGGGATGGGCTGGCTGTGGAATAAAAGCTAAGAAAGAGGAGCTGACCATATAGCCCAGCTGGTAGAGTGCTTGCTTGGCATGCCCAAGGCTCTGGGTTCAATCCCCAGCACCACGAAAGAAAACGACTCTCTAGAGGTTCACGGTGGCTCCCCTGGGCTAAAGCCGAGGGCACCCAGTTTCCTTGTAGTGGGAGGAAGGAAAGCAGAGTCTGGATAGAGATGATGTTAGCTGGGCGGGTTCCGTGAAGGAAGATGGTTTATTTCTGCTCATTTTCTCAATGACGTGAGGTCATCAGCTGATGGTGAGGTGGGGTTTAGAGATCTAGAGGTTTGACCAAAGAATGGAATCTAGTATTTTCTAAATCACAACCATCTTAGTATAAATTACTGCTCCAAGTCTACTGACCTCGGAAAGCAGGACCATTGGGGGTCCTTCCAATCATATCACGCATTGGTGACCTGCTCCATCCACGCTAGGGCTGGCTCTGTCCCTGAGTATTTCCATGTTTCCGAATCGAGATAGAGCAAGGCAAGGCGGAGGCAGGGGACTCAGGAGACCTGCCTGCAAGATGAATCACTCAGCTCTGCCAGGACCAGGCTCCAGGGCCTCTGCTCAGCTTAGCTGCTTGTACTACCGCAAGCCCCTCGCCACTGCAGCACACTCAACTGTTCCCTTTTGTCACCTTCCAAAGGTCTCAGCAATCAAGGAGCATACAGTGGGAAGGGGACACAGGACAGCTGCTTCAGGAGTTTACCTGCAAGCAGGAATCCTGCAGGTGAGGACTGAGGAGAGCCCACACATCCTGTTCTATCTCTAAGGAAAACATCTGCAATAAATTTATTTTTTTTATCATTCGTTTTTCAGCTCAATGCCTACAGCAATTAAGAGACGGCAATACCATGGATGGACAGTTATTGCAAAGGTATTTTCCCCAGAAATTAAAAAATGTTGCTGAAACAATTCACAATAGCTAAATTGTGGAACCAACCTAGATGCCCTTCAGTGGATGAATGGATAGGGAAACTTTGGCACATACACACAATGGAACATTACCCAGCATTAAAAGAGTAAAACCATGGCATCTGCAGGTAAATGGATGGAGTTGGAGAATATAATGCTAAGTGAATCAAGCCAATCCCAAAAAGCAAAGGCCGAATGTTTTCTCTGATATGAGGATGCTGACTCATAATGGGAGGAATGGAGGAGCTTTAGATAGGGCAAAGGGGAGGGAGGGGAAGGGAGGGGGCAAGGGGGTAGGAAAGGTGGTGGAATAAGATGGACATCATTCCCCTAAGTTCATGTATCAGACACGAATGGTGTGAAAATACTTTGTGTACAATCAGTGTCTTGAAAAATTGTGCTCTAAATGGGTAATATGAAATGATTTGCATTCTGCCATCATGTATAACAAATTAGAATAAATTTTAAAAATGAATAAATTTTTAAAAATTGTTGCTGAAAGGTCTAATAAAAATGTTAGTGATCTTATTGAGTTCCCGTTTATTGTTTCTAAATTAAGGTATGTTTCCTTTGGTCAGGCACCCTTAAAATCCACATCCACATATCCTCCCCAGGTTTTCCCAGTATTCTCTAGAGAACTTAAAAGTTCATCCTAACTACTCACTTGCTGATTGGCATTCTGAACATCACCCTGGGGCTCATGTGGAGTTTCAATCCTTGTCATGGTAAAGCACAGGACACAGTGCAGGGGAGCAGAATTTAGCCTTCCTTAGGCAGAGGGGATCTTTTTAAAGGACTTGAAGAATTATTATATCTGCTTTACTGATGTACAAATAGAGGCACAGAAGGAAGACGTCATTTGCCAAAGGTCGCCTGGCTAGTAAGGGAAGAAGAGAGGTGGACACAGCAGGGCGATCGAGGTGGTAGACACTACAGCAGCAGTCAGTGGCTGCTGAAATCAGACAGCCCTGGGATGGGGGAAACAGGGGCTTCTGAACCCCCTGCAGCATACAGCTGGGTTTACCTGAAACTGCCAGATTTTCAGAAAGCAGGAGACTAGGAGGAAAGACAGACGATGGCTTTGGCTGCATGGGACAGAATGCACCGACCAAGGGCTTTCCCCACGCTGAGGGTCACCCTGCAGTGCAGAGGCAGAGGCAAGACCCCCAGCTCCCAGCATCCCGGGACCCGAACAAAGAATCTCATGGCCAGACATTTGGCTGCAAGAGTCTGCTCCTGTGATGGTGGTAGAAGAACGACCCAGACAGTCCTCTGGCTGCCTGTCCCTGTTGGCCAAGGAGAAGAAAAGCTAAAGGAACTCAGGAAATCCCAGGTTACAGGGAAAACCCT